GGTCAATACGGACACGGTCAATACAATGCGTAAGACTATCCTCATTAATAACGCCTCCTTCCCAGAGTTTACGTTTCCACGTAGAACACGAATGTATTTTATTTACACATCTCATCAGCCGCATGACCTCTTCTGGAAGTGCGTTCATCAGCAGCATTCGTTCAATGCAAGCACAACTCTAGAGCGGTTTCAACCGTTCCGTGTCTCATCAGCAGATTCAGGCTTGCTGAAAGCTGTTAAACTGCCGAATATTTTGTGTTTTTATGAATGTGTGTATCTGTGTGTACTTATGCAGTGGGGAGCGGTGGTGTAGGGGTTAGCGCGCTGCGCTACGAGCCTGGCGACCAGGGTTCGATTCCCTCTCACGGCCAACACCAGTGACAATGATCTGAACCGGTCCTAGGCCTCCCCTAGGTCGACTCAGCCTCAAATAAGTACCTGGCCCGGTGTGTAAACATTGTAACTGAGGAGACAAAGGCGGCCGGGCGTGGTGTTGGCCACCCACGCCCTCGTGGGCCATGCCGGCATTTATAAGTGCTCGCTAACAGCACTCGCCCTAACAGTCTGTTAAGGCTATACGGAGGAAGTCGTGACGGGAAATCGAACTTTAGGTGTGTCGGTGTTTTTTGGCGAGGTTTGTGGTGCAGCACGCCCAGCGTTACGCCACCGCTCCACTAACGTATTGCAGAAGTTCGCGGCTCGAACCGGCAGGCCGCCCTGGTTTAACCATGACACGCCCTCTGCTTTGCTGTGAAACGTCGCCTGGTGTCTCATTCGTGGGCCGGCATTCGTCCGCCAGTGCCGGTGTCCAAAATTTTGCCGAGTGAAAAATACTCGCACATTTTCCAATTGCGTGAAACCTACACAGCTACATCGAACTACTATTTAACTAACTAAATATTTTTGTTTGCCAGGTAAGACCCACTGAGCTATATATATACAGCTCTTTTTCAGAAGCGACACGACCACAAATACTAACCCAACAAAGGCGGACACGCAAACTCAAAATAAATATACAGGCGTCAGGATCGGGATCGGGATCGAACCCATGTCCTCCTGCATACCGGGCGAGGGAGATAGCATCTTGATAAAGAGCTTTATAGCTCAACGGATTCGCCACGGTGGCGAGATATTAACTACCTCGCCTGTTATGGAGGAGGTGGTCGGGTCGATTCCGACCCTGGTGCTTGTATATTTTGAATTTGCGTCTCCCTCCCCGTGGTCGCGTGGAATTTTCTCCGGGTCCTCCGGTTTATCTCTCCACACTTTACAAACAGGCGTTTGGAGTGTTTCGCTGCTATACATTTACACGTGATAAGCCACTTCGTTGAGCTATCATCTGTGGCCGTGTCGCTCCTGAAAAAGAGCTGTATATATATAGCTCAGTGGGCCTTGCCTGGCAAAGCAAAAATATTTAGTTAGTTGAATAGTAGTGAGATGTAGCTGTGTAGGTTTCACCCAATCGGAAAATGTGCGAGTATTTGTTTAAACGGCAAAATTTTGGACACTGGCTCCAGCGGACGAATGACATCAGGCGACGTTAAACAGCAAAGCAGAGGGCGCGCGTGTCATGGTTAAACCAGGGCGGCTTGCCGGTTCGAGCCGCGAACCTCTGCATAACCAAGTCGCTGGAGAAGGCGCTGCTTGCATTTGAGTTATCTCTGCTGATGGGGCTTTCGTGGCAAGCCACGGCGGTGGTGGTAGTGGTGGAGTTGGTGGGAGGTGTCGGTGACAGGAGAAGCAATGGAGAGGTGCAGGAAGATTGAAAATGAATTTCTTTACAACTGCTTGTTATTGTGTTTTTTTAAATCCCCGCATCTGCGATTAGCCACGGTTGACCTACGTGCGGTGTGAAAGAAGTTCAACCCACATACAGTATACATGTGTCAGTAAGATGTTGTAGATGCTAAACCAAAAACTATTTTATTTACCAGGTGAGGCCCACTGAGCGATTACATTTTTTGTCAGAAGCCACCTGGCCACAAGTGACAGCCCAGCGAAGGGACTTTTTTTCCGCAGAAATTTATAGCGGCCAAATAAATGCGCGATGTTGATTCGAAGTGTAGAGGTGAAAACCCCGGAGAACCCGGAGAAAAAGCCACACGACCACGGGGAGAGAGACACCACAAAAGCCCAATATACAGCAGCACCACGCCCGACCGCCTTTGTCTCCCCAGTGACGATGTTTTTCCACACCGCACCGGGTACTCATTTGAGGCTGAGTCGACTTAGGGGAGGCCCAGGACCGGTTCAGATACTCGTCACTAGTGGTGGCCATGAGCGGGAATCGATCTCGGGTCGCCAGGTTCATAGCGCAGCGCGCTAACCACTACGCTATCGCTCCCCACGAACATAAACAACCACATACACACAAAAAGACAAAGATCCCCCATATAGCCTGTAACAGACTGTAGGGGCAAGTGCTGTTAGCGAGCACCTATGAAGGCCAGAACGGTACACGAGGGGGTGGGTGGCCAGCACCACGCCCGACCGCCTTTGTCTCCCTAGTGGCGATGTTTCCACACCGCACCAGGTACTCATTTGAGGCTGAGTCGACCTAGGGGAGGCCCGGGACCGGTTCAGATAATCGTCACTGGTGTTGGCCGTGAGCGGGAATCGAACCCGGGTCGCCAGGTTCATAGCGCAGCGCGCTAACCACTACACTACCGCTCCCCACAATACACACACACATATACACACATACACACATATACACGCACATACACACACGTAGAGACACATACACACATAAATACACACACATACATACACAGATCACCCGTGTACACTACAACAACTTGTGACACAGAAAGATAAACACAAAGACAATGTTACATATATACTGTACATATACGCACACAACAATGCACACACACACTTCATTTACAAACACCATACACTCTGATGTATATACACACACTCGTTGCTATATCATTGTTATGTATCAGCGTTACTTGCACAATACATTAAAATACAAGGACAAAGATCCCCCGCATAGCCTTAACAGACTTTTGGGGCAAGTGCTGCTTGCGAGCACACGCATTCTTACCCATCGGCATACGTACAGACACACACACACGTGCATACACCAGACTCACACACACACACGCTGTGCGTACCGTATTCATATTTAACAAAGACAAACATCCCCCGTGTAGCCTTTAATAGATTGTCGGGGCAAGCGCTACGAGCGAGCACCTACGAAGGCCGGCACGGCACACGAGGGGGTGGGTGGCCAGCAACCACGCCCGGCCGCCTTTGTCTCCCGAGTGGCGATGTTTACACACCGCACACCAGGTACTCATTCAAGGCTGAGTCGACCTAAGGGAGGCCCACGACCGGTTCAGATAATCGTCACTGTTGTCCGCCTTGAGTGGGACTCGAACTCGGGTCGCCGGGTTCGTTGCGCAGCGCGCTAACCGCTCCACCACCGCTCCCATCACACACAGACATATCGCACATACACACTCGCTGATACACACACACAAAGCCAAGGGCACATACATACACACAGAGATGCCCCCGTAGAGCCTACACAGGGCTATTGGGGCAAGGGCTGTTAGCGAGCAGCACCTATGTAGACCCACACACAAACACAAACAGACACACAAACACAAAGACATACAGACACAAAGACAAAGTCCCCTCTCTCGTGCAGCCAACACAGGGCTATTGGGGAAAGTGCTGTTAGCGAGCAGCATCTATGTAGACCCACACACAAAGACAAACAGACACACAAAGACAAACAGACACACACACAAAGACATACACACACAAAGACATACACACAAAGACATACAGACACAAAGACAAAGTCCCCTCTCTCGTGCAGCCAACACAGGGCTATTGGGGAAAGTGCTGTTAGCGAGCAGCATCTATGTAGACCCACACACACACAAAGACATGCAGACACACAAACACAAAGACATACACACACAAAGACATACACACACAAAGACATACACACAAAAAGACATACACACACAAAGACAAAGTCCCCTCTTTCGTGCAGCCAACACAGGGCTATTGGGGAAAGTGCTGTTAGCGAGCCGCATCTATGTAGACCCACACACACACAAAGACATACAGACACACAAACACAAAGACATACACACACAAAGACATACACACTCAAAGACATACACACACACAAAGACATACACACACAAAGACATACACACACAAAGACATACAGACACACACACACAAAGACATACACACACAAAGATCCCTTCTCTCGTGCAGCCTACACAGGGCTATTGGGGAAAGTGCTGTAAGCGAACACCTCATGAAGGCCGCACGGCGCACCCACCCTGGTGGAAGGGTAGGGGGGTGATTTGGAGTGGTGGGCTGGCCAGTAACCACTCCCGGCCGCCTTTGTCTTCCGTATGTACCGTATGTTGAACTTCTTTCACACCGTACGTAACTAGCCGTGCTAATCGGAGACACACAACACATCCACCACACACAAAGACAAACATCTCCCGCATTGCCTTAATGAGCTGTTTAGCGATTGGCACCTCTGAAGGCCAGCCCGGCACACGATAAGTTATGGGTGGCCAGCCACCACGCCGGGCCGCCTTTGTCTCCCCAGTGGCTCACACACACAAAGACAACGATCCTCCTTGGAGCCTCAATAGACGTTTGGGGACGAGTGCCGTTAGCGAGTGGCACCTCTGAAGGCCGGCACGGCACACGGAGGGGCGGTGCGGGTGACGAGCAACCACGCCCGGCCGCCTTTGTCTCCCCCGGTGCCTCTCATACGCACGCGGAGCGAGCGAGCGCGAGAGAAGGGAGCGAGATGAGAGAGGAGCGAGCGATGGAGCGAGCGACGCCCTCGAGTGCATACGAGAGTCGGATTCTCCCATTTCGAGTTGACCACCCAATGGGAGTGAGCGGCTGGGATGAGGGCACGGGATGCCTCGCCCACAATGCGCACCCGGGTGGGTTTAGTGGTGGGGGGTGGGTTGTGTGGGGGGGGGGGGGGTCCGGGGCCACGCCGCTGACGCAGAAGGCAGAGGCAGTCGCTTCGTCGTCCTGCAGCAACGCACACAGCCCCGTACCACACTCCTCCAGACTCGTCAAGAACGCCGCCTCCACCTAGCTACCTAGCGACCTACCGTTCAATTACCTCCACATCACCACCACCACCACCACCCCCCAATCCATCTATCCACCGTGCCAATCAACTGAAAGTAATTATTATATGTATATGAGAGAAAACATTTGGGGTCATTTGTTAAGTCTCGTTTGCCGTGCTGCAGCGTTAACAGTTATCCGGAAAGTGAGTCTCAAAAAAAAACGTCGAGCGGCCAGCAATTGACAGCACTCACTGTTACGGTTGTTATGGTTAGTGTGCTGGAGATAACGAGTTCATCGATTGGTTGTAGCGAATTCACGGCTTTATAACATTATAAATGTTGAAGTTGTATGGAGTAACGATCTGGCTATACACCCATCTCTTTATCTCGATTAATGAACACAACATGAGGATTAATGTACTTATTTTCAGTTGATTGGCTGCAATTGAGTCTATTATTAGCTCGGCTATAATTATTATTTATCGTTCACATTGTAATTTTGATTATTTTTCTGTTAGGTTATATTTATCACAGCATACATTTGTTGTTATATTTATTGTTTTCTCTGGATACATCGAGTTAGACCCCGTAAGTCGAAGTGGATTTTTCGACCTTCATGGGCGATATGGGAGACTCGGCCAAGAGTGAGTAACACCATTCCCTTCTCTCCCATCATCTGTCTCGGGGTGCGTGGGCTCTATAGGTGGTGCTGGCACATGCCATGGTAACGTGGAATTTGCAACAATCGTTTTGTTACCGCGTCGAACGGAAAACGAGCGATATTCCGCTATGTAGACATATTTAAGAAAGAGACGTGCAGTTCTTGACTTCATATGGAATTCTTTACCTCTTTGTAAATATTTTTTCCCGTTATCTATTATATATATGTGTGTGTACACGTGCAGCGCTTGTGTCAATCCACTGCTGGATGAGGGCCGCTCCACGCCATGCCCTTTGTTTAATCGTTTAAATAAATTGGTACTACGTATTATCCACGTTTGTATACCACGAGGATGATAAACATGGCCGAGGGGCGAGGATGATAACGGAGTGGCAGCCAAGGAATGGGACGCGACCGAAAGATAGCCCGTCCGCCGATGAGATGAAGTTCATGCCCTCGTGCTAGGCGACACGGTGGCTAGGAGATGTTAACTCCCTCGCCTGGAATACAGGAGGTCGTGGGTTCTATCCAAATACTGACGCCTGCTGCTGTATATTTGTAGTTTGCGGTGTCTCATCATCATCATCACAGTGGCTAGGAGATGTCAACTCCCTCGCCTGGTATACAGGTGGTCGTGGGTTCGATCCCAATCCTGACGCCTTGCTGCTGTATATTTGGAGTTTGCGGTCTCTCTCTCTCCCCGTGGTCGCGTGGATTTTTCTCGGGGTCCTCCGGTTTTTCCCTCCACGTTTAGAATTAACAACGTCATGCGTCTAGAGTGTGTGGATGCTGTGAATTTCCACGCGATGATGAGCAACTTCGCGTTGAAGCTATCATTTGTGATCGGCAGGTCGCTTATGAGAAACAGCTACTTAGCTCAGTGGGGCCTTGCCTGGTAAAAAAAGTATAGTTAAATAGTAAATACCTACGGTGCATCGTTATTACATCGCAGAATCGCCACAAGGTATGGCAGTAGTGGATTGACCATGGCTGATGATGATGGTGATAAAGATGATGATGAAGAATGATGATAGATCGCAGCCGCTAACGCACCATCCGATTAGCACGGTTGGCAAATGTACGGTGCGAAAGAAGTTCAACTTACATACATGCATGATCATCCACTGCTGGATGATTATTCATCGTCCGCCTATCACGTGAGTGTTGGTCACCCGGGGTTGTTTGACCGTGCTTCACAACGCTGGTCAATGCGGGTGGGTCGTTTGCGTATTATATTACTCTCTCGATGCATATATTTTAAATATTGCGTTATGTATCTACCTCTAAGTATTCGTAATGTTCGAATAAATGTCTGCATCTTCACGTGTATCGCATATGTTCTGTATCTCCGCATCTGTTAGCGGCTTCTGCATACATATATGTTTATATCTTCACACTTATCTACAAATGCACCTTCATATCTCCTACACCATCGAACATATGCTCGAAGAACACGTTTGTATGCGTTAATTTAAACGCGTACGTTAGTGTGTGTGTGTATATTAATCAAATGGCTGTGCATATCTCAGTATATGTATATATACAGATATTGTACACGATGTATTTACCATCTCTAAATTATCCTTTGTGGACATCTTTTTGCACATCCGTCTGCATTTCCCCCCCCCCCCCCATTTATATCTATCGCTCTCCCAGCTTTTGCTGAAACACGCAAAAAAAAACATTATAAACGTCTTCTCTACATTCCGCAAAGAACCTCTACGCGCTGATGTGCACGTTCTACGACCGTTACATTTCAACGCGGCCTTAGCGAATTCATAAAATGTACACGTGTCTATGTATGTTGAACTTCTTTCGCACCGTACGTAGCCGACCGTGCTAATCGGAGGTTGTCGCTGTTAGCGACCACCTATGAAGGCCCGCACGGCACACGAGGGGGTGGTGGATGGGGGGGGGGGGGGCAGCACCACGCCCGGCCGCCTTTGTCTCCCATTGCTGATGCTCACACACCGCACCAGGTACTCGTTTAAGGCTGAGCCGACCTAGGGGATTGCCCAGGAGCCGGTGAAGAAAACCGTCAGCGGTGTTCGCCGTGAGCGGGGACTCGAACTCGGGTGTCGCCGGGTCGTAGGGCAGTGCGCCAAAGCGCTTTCACTACCGCCGTGGTTAGCGCACTGCGCTAAAGGAGCAGACCCGCGACCGGAGGTCTGAGTTCGATTCCAGGCCACGGCTAAACACCAGTGGCGAGCGATGATATGACGGGTCCTCCTTCGAGTTGTCACTTGATATGACGCCTTTATCCAGCAGTGGATGACGAAAGGAGCTGTAGAGTACGCGTAAAAATGGTTCCACACGTGAATGCAAATCTAATTTAACACGCGCGTATCGTTTGAATACGTTCACGCCATCTTATATAACTGTTTTTTTCTGCAATAGTTTGAACATAAAACATCTAAATAAATGTCAATCTTAATACAATTATAGCGTATAATATATATGTACTCTGTTTATATGTGTATCCAAAATCTAAACATATCCGTATCTATTAATACATCTTCATTCTGTAATATTATTACCAATACGTATGTCAACATCTGCATACCTCAAGCATATATAAATATAAACCACAGCCCTTTATCGATCCACTGCTGGATGATGTTTCTCCTTTCCCCACGCCATGCCGATCATACGAAGGAGAGAGGGGGGGGGGTGTCGATGGGTGGTGTCGATCGTTTGACCATACTTCACCACGCTGGTCACTGCGCCTTAGCGGACACTACAACGTTACTGACGTTAGAGGCGCGGCCGGGAATCGAACACATGCGGCCGGAGTCGTTTGCGCAGTGCCCTAACCACTGCGCCACCGCGCCCGTCTGTACACAAAGGCAAAGATCCCCCGTGTAGCCTTAACAGACTGTAGGGGCAAGTGATGTTAGCGAGTAGCACCTATGAAGGCCGCAACGGTACACGAGGGAGCGGGTGGCCAGCACCACGCCCGACCGCCTTTGTCTCCCCCAGTGGCGATGTTTACACACCGCACCGGGTACTCTTTTGAGGCTGAGTCGACCTAGGGGAGGCCCAGGACCGGTTCGGATAATCCTCACCGGTGTTGGCCGTGAGCGGGAATCGACCCCGGGTGGCCGGGTTCATAGCGCAGCGCGCTAACCGCTGCACCACCGCTCCTTCCACACACGCACACACGCACGTGTCACACACAATGTGCGCTAAGCAAGCAAACAGCAGCGGGCTTGATCCCCCGCTTTCTACGGCTTTAGCGTCACACTCCCCCCCTACCCCGCTTATTCTCCCACCACCTCCTCCTTCTCCTCTTGCCCGCCAAAGGAGGCGAATGACTTTATCCACTCATGAGCGGCAAGACACAAGATGGGACTTTAGGTTGAGTCCTGTCCAACGATCGAAACAAATCGGCGTCTTTGCTTGCTGCAAGGTATCGGGGGTGCAAATCAGAGGCGTCGTTTGTTTTTACCAAAAAAATGTTTCTGTTGTATTCAGCGTAAGGTTAATTGTATAATACGAAATCATCAGTCGCTCAGTCACACTCGTCTAGAGATCTATAACAAAAAACAAAGATCCCCCGTATAACCGGTTCCAGACTGTAGAGGCAAGTGCTGTTAGCGAGCACTTATGAATGCCGGCACGGCAGCGCGCTAACCGCTACACGCACACACGCGCACACATCGCTACGAACCTGGCGACCCGAGTTCGATTCCCGCTCACGGCCAACATCAGCGACGATTATTGGAACCGGTCTCCCCCTAGGTCCATTTAGCCTCAAAATGAGTACCTAGGGCGGTGTGTAAACATCGCCACTAGGGAGACAAAGGCGGCCGGGCATGGTGATGGCCATCCACCCCCACCTTGTGTGACGTTCCGGCCCTCATAGGTGCTACTCACAACCAGCACTTGCCCCAACAGTCTGTTCAAAGCTACGTGGGCGATCTTTGTTTGGTGCTGGATGAGTCTTACGATGTTTGTGTGTACGTTTTTACTTGAAGGCTAAAACAACCCCGTTCAAAACAATCGTGATCGATACGTCTTCATCATCATCGGCCATGGTCAATCCGCTTCTGGATGAATGTATATTAGTTGTCGCCGCCACATATTACGATGCCATTATCATTTGATGTCATTGCTAAACGCAGTGTTGTGATGATTATTGTATCACAAAAAACAATGTCTTGCTCTTTTATCAACCCAACTGCTGGATCAAAGGCCGCCCACGTCTGTGTGGGTCGTGGAGGGGGGTGAGGGGGGTGAGGGGGGTGGATAGTTGACCATACCTCACCACGCTGGAAAGTGGGGGGTACCATTAGACAATTTCCTTAATTATAATTAAGGAAATTCTTAATTAAGGAAATTCTTAATTATAATTAAGGAAATTCTGGAGCGGTTCAGAGATGGCGTCATTCAGAGATGATGTCATTCAGCTATGGTGTTATTCAGAGATGATGTCATTCAGATATGGTGTTATTCAGACATGATGTCATTCAGGTATGGTGTTATTCAGAGATGATGTCATTCAGATATGGCGTTATTTAGACATGATGTCATTCAGGTATGGTGTTATTCAGAGATGATATCATTCAGATATGGTGTTATTCAGACATGATGTCATTCAGGTATGGTGTTATTCAGAGATGATGTCATTCAGGTATGGTGTTATTCGGAGATTACGTCATTCATCACCGATGCTGTCTGTGGAAGGAACGCAAACTTAGGTCACCAGGTTCACGGCGCAGTATACTACCACTGTGCCACTGATCCGCACCTTCCAGTTTAATACACGAGGTGAACTATGGATCATTTAATGCCCTCCAAAATTACAATAAATCAAGAACTAGAGGTCATCGTCACGCCACCACATCTCGCCTCCTACCTTCTGCCAGATCTCACGGCTATGTTACACGGGCGACACGGCCTTCAATGACCACGATTACGCCCTCGTTATCATCGTCACCATCACCACCATCGTTAGAGGTCTCCCCATTGGTCGCCTACCTC